AAGACCTACTTTATTTCATGGATTAGTGTTTATGTGCCTCTGGGAGATGTTTGCACAGTGCAAACAAGCTGCACGTAGATGAGGGGAGAAAAAAAGTTGGCAGAGTGTTGTACCATGAGCACAGAAGAGGCGGCAGAGCCTCAGAGTTACGTGCAGAGAGAGGATCGGGCACCTCCAGGCACAGTGTCATAAAGCAGCTGCATAGAAACCAGGGTCACCAAGCTTTTTTTTATGTGTGCAGCTGAATATCAGCACAGGAGGCAGAAAGTGTGGAGGAGGAAGGTCGTGCTGAAGCAAAGGAGGTGCATGGAGTGTGTGAAAGCTGAGCTACACCCCTGTGCGGATGTTGAGTCAGATGGGAATTTGTGAACAGCTGTGGGGGAAACTCTGTCTCGTAGAAAAAGGAAACTACTCGGTCCTGACCTTTTGAAGTGCTGTCAAGACATAGCCGTGGCTGTATCTTCATATATGCACTATGCATCTAAAAGCTGGCCATGGACCAGAAGTGCTTCTGGTGCTTCTTTCTTGGGTGCACATTTGGATTTCTTTTTTTCCAAAAGGAAGCTGAGAGCTGTTATGTCTGTATATACTCATGAAATTTATGTTGATGACTATAAAATTACATACGATGTTCAGAGATGCTGATACTGACACTGCTCATGTATTGGTACCCAGCACCTGCAAAATAGTCAGAGACCAATTTTTCCAAAAGATTTAGCTCCCACACTTCAGGCCAGATGGTCAAAGCTGAAGAAGACTGCTAGCCTCTGCAAGCCTCAGAGCAGCGTAATTCCCAAACAGAGCTACCTTGGAGGAACTTAGTGCTTGTTAAAGTTCAGCCTGACAGGACTTGACTGACCACTGCTGTAATGACCCAATTGTTGGCATTGGCTTGGTAGCAGTTGGATGTGGTAGAGTGAACACGTTTCATGGCCATGGTCCTTCAGAAACCTTAATGCTAACCGTTAACCCTCCTCTATTTGGCTATGCTTGTCGCTGCTCTCCTGGAAAGATACTCTTCTGGATAGGCTTCAACATATACCCAGGGGCATGCCTGGAATAGAGTAACCTTCATGTCTGGCATGAAGTTGTGTGGTGTTGTGGACACGCTGGAGGGAAGGGATGCCATCCAGAGGGACCTTGCCAGGCTGGAAAAGTGGGCCTGTGAGAACCTCATGAAGTTCAACAAGGCCAAGTGCAAGGTCCTGCACGTGAGTCGGGGCAATCCCAAGCACGAGTACAGGCTGGGTGGAGATTGGGTTGAGGGCAGCCCTGAGGAAAAGGACTTGGGAGTGCTGGTGGATGAGAAGCTCAACATGAGCCTGCAGTGTGCGCTGGCAGCCCAGAAAGCAAATCGTATCCTGGGCTGTATCAAAAGAAGCGTGGCCAGCAGGTCAAGGGAAGTGATTCTGCCCCTCTACTCAACTCTTGTGAGACCCCACCTGGAATACTGCATTCAGCTCTGGAGTCCCCAACATAAGAAGGACATGGAGCTACTGGAACGAGTCCAGAGGAGGGCCACGAAGATGATGCGAGGGCTGGAGCACCTCTGCTATGAAGACAGGCTGAGAGAGTCGAGGCTGTTCAGCCTGGAGAAGAGAAGGCTCTGGGGTGATCTTATAGCAGCCTTTCAGGTACCTAAAGGGAGCCTACAGGAAAGCTGGAGAGGGACTTTTTATGAGGGCATGTAGTGATAGGACAAGGGGCAATGGATTCAAACTGAAAGAGGGGAGATTTAGATTAGATCTAAGGAAGAAATTTTCTACATTGAGGGTGGCGAGGCAGTGGAACAGGTTGCCCAGAGAAGTTGTGGATGCCCCATCCCTGGAGGTGTTCAAGGCCAGGCTGGATGAGGCTTTTGGCAACCTGGTGTAGTGGAGGATTTCTCTGCCCATGGCAGGAGGGGGGGAACTAGATGATCTTTAAGGTCCCTTCCAACCCTAACCATTCTATGATTCTGTGATTCTATGAGTTAGCCTATATCCTCCACTAAGAAAAGCTTCATCTGGATGAACATAATTAAAAAAAGGCTGCTTTTTTTCCTACCAGTTGCATATATGTCAGCGTTCAGCAGCGTATTAATGAAGTACCATCTCTGAGAATAGAGCCTCTACGAGACTTTGCCTTACTGTATGCATACCTATGCTATGGCAACCCTGAGGGTTTTTCTTCTTTCTTTGGTGCTTGTAGTGCAGGCTTGTGGCTGCACACGGGCGCTTGGGCAAACTCGCCTGAGCAAGTACGAGCCATTGGCATGAGATGGGCTTCACCTGCCTAATTCCCAGAGCTGTTACCTCTCTGTTTTCTGGGTAACAAGGGCTGATGGCGATCAGAGTCAGGATGAACAAAGGCGTGCCCAGCCCAAAACGTAGATACTGGAGTTGCAGAGAGGCTTCCCTGGCTCACAGGGTGGTGGTGATGAAGGAAAGGTGATGCTTGTTGTTACCCTACAGTGCTTTGAGGCCTCTGAGCAGTCTGGATTTATTTGGTATTTTATCCTGCCTAGAGCTAGGTAAAGCCCATGGAGTTACCCTAATTTCAGTGGGGGCAGAGTAAGTCCTATTCTGGTAGATGTATATTAGAAGACTGAATTAAAGCAGCATAAATAGGTCATGTAAAATAGTCATGTCCTTTTAATAGAGTAAAAACATTATAGAAACAAGGTTACATGTTATCTAATTAAATATGATAATAAGACGTAGAAAATAGAATGAATGTTTAAACATTAGCAGCTATGCAAAAATATGAGTACTACATAGGAAAAACATAACTATTTCCAAGTGATTAAAGTAAATAAACATCAAGTTTCTACTACTTTCCCCATACTAAAAAGCAAACATCAGGTTTCTACTACTTTTCCCGTATTAAAGAGCAGTATACCTTTCTGGACAAACAGAAGAACTATTATACATGGATACCTTACTGCTTAAATAGTGCAAATAGACATTTGTGATGTCCCTTTTAATCCTCAAAAACATGTGTATGAGTTCGAAACAATCATAGCACATACTGTACAGGATTTTTCTGATGCGCTTTTGCTTCTTCCTCTATTCCCTTTTGTTCATCACTGTGTTACTGGAAGAGGATACCTTTCCAGCACAGTCTGTCTGCATCTACAACCACACTGTGCAAGTCAGCACAGTATGAGCATTACCAGCGGCTCTTTTAAAAGAGAAATATAAGCATTATAAAGCAAATGAATGCCCAGGGCTTTCATCTTTTTCTACTGCATTAATCAATGTTCCGTTCGGTGAGAAACAGCAATAAAAACCATTCTGTAAAATGTCACTGGAATGCTTTCAGTCAAATCCTCAGCCCCTTTGTACGCAGGGACTGTAAAGTTATCCCCATTTGAAAGTTTCCCTGGCGTTGGGTGGAGGTGGAGAAGGTAGAGTGCTGTCTTGGGAGGGCTGTTTTTCTCCAGCAGGCTACATCATATATAGCAACATCTCAGTGATTATTACCAGTCAGAACAAATTTGAGCAGCTCTGAGCATGAGAGAGAATTCTTTTACCCTTGGACTCTGCGAATGTGAATACATTTCAGTAAAAGGAGAATTTCAAGCAGCTAGAGGAACTGAGACTGCACAGTGAGGTGAACCCCAATCCCAGAGTGCAGCAAAGCATCTTGGATTTCCCATGGCCACACTGCTCAGCTGTCATGCAACCATGTGGCCGTAGCAGCTTTATCTCCAAGCGTGTGCTCCGCGATGTGCAGCATCCCAGACGGACTGTGAAGTGGCTCAGTCATCTCTGCAGGGCAGCATGTTAGGAGCCCGAGAAAGGTGAATGGGAAGGGACAGGATGCCTTCCTCCATCATAACGCGTGAAAAAAAAAAACCCACAAAACTATCTCCAGGCAATTTACAAGGTAGTTTCAAAATAATACGGGTCTTCTGATCACTGGCAGGATCCATGACGTTCCATCCATTCTCCTATGTCAGATATTACATGAGAACATTGCCTGGCGATATTCAAACTATTATCCTGCAGACACAGCCATTGGGAATAATGCTAGTAAACAAACATGGTCCACTCAGCCCTTCTGAACTGGAAAGTACTTATATGCTGCATTAATGCTTGCATGAGAGCTGCAGAGGAAGACAGCAGCATGCATTTTACAGCCCCACTTCAGTTTATAGGAAGAGACAGGATTTTGCTTTTCATTGACTTTGGTTTTTTTTTGTCTTAGCTAAACATTGCTACTACATGAAATACTGAAGATCTTTAATATATAGCACTAGCAAAGGTACCTGTGGATCCTAAAATTAACTTCGGGGCAGATCTTTACCAATAGCAAAAAATAGTGACATGTAGCGTTTTGCTTTGTTTAAATCTCAATCTCTCTCTCTCTCTCTCTGAGTTTGAGAGAGAGAAAAAAGTCTGAGAAAACATCTTCCCAAAAGTGAGTCCATGTGCCCTTTTCCTGAGGGCTCAGCAAACTCCCTTTATGGTGACCAAGCTCCTGGATCCCCAGGCAACTAATGCTTGATAGCAACTCTCATTTACGGGCATTTTGCAAACTGGAGGACTTCCACTGACTGCCGAGGACTTACTCTTGACCTACTGCTGTTTAAAAGATATTGGAAACCATTTAACTTGATTTTTTTTTTTCCATATTTCTTGCTTAGGCATTAATAAGAGCTTAACTCTGCAACCAAGAGGTTAACAGAAGAGCTCATTAACTTTTATGAGGCATGCTGTGATCCTCAGCTACGACTGCAGTGTCATTGTCTGTATTAATCAGATCTGAACATTAAATTCAGGTTGAAAATTTAATTTCTGCTGCAGTGGAGATTGTTACTGACATACTGAGAGCTGAGGTTAGGCATCTTATTACTGAAACGTGGGAGAACCCACTTCCTTGAAGGTATACCATTGCACTGTGAGCAGGTTGCGTTGTGGAGGTGGGAACTCACTGGATGCAGGAAAACAAAACAGAAAGCTTCAGTGTCCTGCTTGTGTCAGAGAAAAAGTGGTAGGCTGTCATTCCTGTAAGGTTTACTGAATTTTGTAGAAGCTAGACATTGTGACATAGGCTTCCTCGTTGTTTGGTGACCTCGTTTCACTGGCAGGCAGCATCTGGGATACGATGTCATCATTTAGGGGCTCTGATCTGGGCTGGTCAGAGGGATCCAGGGTAGGAGTGGAGGAAAGGTCGAAACCATCATCGCACAGCGGCACACCGTTGCTGTGGCACACCTCGTACGTGCTGGAGCCGCAGTTTGCTTCGGTGACTGCAAACTGGCTGGTGCCTAGGAGTCTGCACAGGGCTTCAGCCGGCCAGATTCCTCCATAAGTCACAGACAGGTTTAGGTTGCTTTTGTCTGTCATGGCAGGGATCATCTTCAGGTCTGATCCACTCCTAAATTTTTCTGGAAGGTTTGTCTCTGGAGCAGTTGATGTCTGTAGAAAGTTTTCCAGTTCAGCTTTTGCTCGAATGCCGTCCACTTTATGAATATGAACGTAACCAAAACTCTCTGGGTTAAAGCTTATATCAAAATTCTGCATGACAAAGGGAACAGCGTTGTCAGTTAACAGTGGGTATTAGATTAACAGAAACTTCGAGAATTCATTCGATTCTAAAAAGGTTAATTATTATTTCTTCAAATCTGAAAGTAACCCTGAGCAGGCTGAAAAACAGGTTAGCAGAAAATAAACTGCCATGTGGCTTAAAATCTTTTTCTGTATTAATCTGAATCTATCCAGAGGTTTCCTGCAGGCACAACCAGTGGAGAGTGCTCTATGCTCTGCGCAACGTGGTGAAAACTGGTGTTTCAGAGACTTTTCTGAGCCACTTATCTATTGCACACCTGCCATTTCACAGGAATAAGCATGCCAACCCAGGCTGTTCCTTTCAGTTTTACCTTCCTAATTTAGCAGTGAGGGAAGTAAAAGTTCGCCACGACTTCCTGAAACACGTTGGGAATCCCTGCACTGGGCAGTACAGAGGCTGGTAGAGTCATCTTAGACCTCTTGTTAAATTAAGAACATGCTAATAATTTGCCAACTGGGGAGAACAGCCTTGATGAGTTTTTAAGTGAAAAAATGCATGAGACACCTAGTTTTAAGGCAATGGGTTAATCCCACACCTTACAGTTTGTAACATTTGTCCTTCTGGCTTTTGTCTGGTGGAGCGCTTCATGCGCTGTACAGTGTATGAGCAATTCTAACAACACAGGCGTCACCAGCGATGTTTGCAAAGGGTCCCCATCCAGCCCCACGATCACAGTTTCATAGAATCACAAAATTATCTTGACTGGAAACAGCCTCTGAGATCTAACTAGTCCAGCCTTCTGCCAGAAGCAGGATCTGGATTAGGTTATCCAGGGCCCTATCAAGCAAAGCCTTGAATGTTTCCAGCAAGGGAGAATGCACTTCTTCTCTGGGCAACTACTCAATGTTTAATAATTCTATGGAGAAAGATTTTTTCCTTATATCCAGATGAAGTTTGCCCTGAAGCAACACATACCTGTTGCCTCTGGTGCTGAGACCATGCAGCCTTATGAAGAGAGTCCCTCCACCTTCCTTCTACCTATACTTTAGGAATCGGAAGTTTGTGATTAGTACTCCCCTCTCTGGGCTTCCCCTTTTCTATGAACAAACTCAATTCCTTCAGCCTTTCTTTATATATCAAGTTCTCCAGCCCTCTGCAGTTACTTTGCACAAGTTAAAGCTCAGGCACTAGTTGAGCTGTTCATTATTTCCATACCCTTGACTAGCATCTGCCTGTGCAAATGTGGGTTCTCTTCAGTGAAATGTAGAAGTCATTTCTGAAAGATGTCCCAGTTCATGCAGCATGTACTGTCTGTCATGTTTTGTTCCCAATAGCCTATACTCAGGTGAAAACAGCAGCAGAAATACATACATTTTTTGGCTTCTTGCACAGTTGCTCCAGCGTTTTTTTATGATCAGGAAGGTTTGGCCACACAGCAGGCTTGATCCTGAAACAGCAACAATCGAGGAAAAGGGGTTTGACAGCAGCAAAAGAGAGACGTATTGAGACACCAGAGATTCATATTGCATCATTTTTACTAATTCTCACAAAGCCTTAGGGCTGGTTTGCATTACCCAGAATATTGACAGAGAAGTCTCAGAGTTGAACAAAGACAGGAGGAGTAGAGGAGTTGTAAAGGTCACTGAATAGTCATTGTTCTTTTAAGCACAGAAATTGTCACAGTTAAAGGAAGACTTCACTAAGTACTGGAAAAGCAGCGAATCGTGCTGGTGCAGATCTCAGTTGCATCTAGCTGTGTTAACTGTGTTTTGCATGATGAAAACAATTTCTGCAAGTGAAAAAAGATGCTGTGGTTAAAGTGCAAATTTGCTGATATTTGCCTCTGCGTATTTATGTTAGTCAAACAACTGCATATTGTCCCACTCCTTCACCCCAGCTCTCTGTGCTTCAGATATCTGTATTGTAGCCTTATCCCACAGGTCTCGTTTTACTGTCTTAATTAGCAATGTTTTTGCGTTGTGCTGCTGGAAACCCTCAGCTATGATGCATCTAGAGAATATTGCCCAACTGACATTCAATGCTGCAGTGATACAAATACAACTATGGATGTATATGAATCTAGATTTTGGTTTATGTGTCTGTATATGTGGGTATATATACACACGTGTATAAAGCCTTCTTTTTTTAAAAAGGGAAATCTCTCTGAGTTCAAAAAGTTTTGACATCTAAAAGCCTATTTTTTCAGCATTTTTATGTACACAGAACTGCCAGCAAAGTTAGAGAACTGCAGATGCTCAGCAACAGTAAAATGCAAGAGCTAGAAATCTCAAGCCACACCTATACTTGCAAATGAAACAACACCAAGGAGCATTCCCTGGCAGATGACTTGAGTGTCTAAAATGCTTAATTACTAAACCTGTTCCTGGCATGGTTTCACTGGGGCCAACTGGCACATTCCCGGGCAATCCCCGTGTGTAATTCAGGAGTTGGCACAGCCCAAATGTTGTTCCCAAAAAGCAGCTCACATGCAGCCGTCTCCCTGGATGTTAGTGGAGCTGGATGTCATGGATGGGCTGCTTGGAATGCCACCAAAGAGCCCTGGGCTTTCTGCCTGGCTGAAACCAGGACAGAGGGGTTCATCTCCTATGGTTAAACTTGGGCCTTGTTCCCTCCAGATGCTGGTTCCACCAGGTTGTCTGCATATCTGTTCATTTTCCTAAACTTGTCAACTAACTATCTATTCTATGTAAGCATATGTAGGCATGTATTTAAAATTGTATTTACAGTTATCTATCTGCTGCTGCGTAGCCGATATATGAGAAAAAAATAATGCAGAGAAAGGGCTGCCTGTGTGATGAACTTCTCTCCAGTCCCACCTCTGCTATGACTGCCTTTGGGGGATGTAGGGGCTGGGTTTGCCACACAGGTGGACGTGGGTCCAGCTGTGCTGGTGGCTGACACTATCAAGCCCTTGTTGCAGAGAGCTCTGCCCCGCTGCTTCCGAAAGCACTGCAGAGCGGACACCCTGCTGACTCAGCCTGTGAAAGGATAAGAGGCAATCTCCCTGCTATATCGTTTCCGCATCTCTTAGGACTTCACTAAAACCCACAGGTTTCTTTCTTTTCTGGATCTCGCGTGAAGATTTTGAGTCAAATTTGCCCCCAGTGAGACACTGACTCTGAGTGTGTCGTGGCAACTTCGGATCCTCAAAGGTCCCAGTGTTTCGAGCCCAAGACTAAAATCATCTTCTGTCTGACAACACCCTCTCTTGTATTACCCACTTCTACTCTTTGCCTGCCTTCAGCTTCATATAGAGGACCAGAGATGGAAAGGGAGTAGTTCACAAGTATAACAGGACTGTCAATCCTGTCAGAACAAGATTGGCTTCCAACACTTTTTCTGATATGAAGAAACTTAGATTACCTGTTTTCCCAAAAAGTTCCGATCAGGACAATCATGACAACAGACAGCATGAATCCCAAGAGGAAGAGTACAATCACGACCACGCTACTAGCTAAAGAAAAACAAGGAACATCAGCCAATGCATGTAAATGCCTCACTGTTAAGCCACTGTTAAGCCACTGTAGCCATAACGTCTTTTCAGACAATAAATTAGGAATTAGTGCCAAGACTTGCGCTCTCCTGTCACTGGACTGATGCAGTGGTGCATTTTCCTTCCTCCCTGAAGGAGGAAAGAGGTAGGCTGCCAGAGCGTCAGCACTTGGCTGAGCTCCAAGATGGGTTCCCAGCTTGGATTAAAGCAGGTCAAAGTCTGCCATCACCTGCAGCGCGTTGAAGCCACCACTCGCTGCATCCTTACAGCAGCACCGGAGTGACTTCGAACATGTGTAATGCTGAGGTGCCCCTAGGGACTGAAGGGACCCCGAGGACCAGAAGGATTATTCATGTTTACAAGTGCAAAGATGAGATTTTATCCTGTATGATATCTGCGATTAAGGTGCTGTGTTTGCACACAAATCCGGGGCCCTGGAGTGGGTCCTGTTTCACCATTCTTTGTGCCTTACCTGAAACGCTGGGTGCGAGCTGGTCCTTCCCCCTGCACGTCAGTGGGCAGTGAGAAGGAAGGAGTATGCCTTCACCTCGCTTTGCACCCGCCTCATTCCCATGCAGCATCATTTCATCTGATCTTACCACCCTCGAGGGAGATTTAATGTCATGGGAAGAGTCAGCCCCAGGCCAGAGCGATACAGCCACTCCCTGGATCACCTTCTCAGGGGTGCCCGATGCCCGTGAGGGCTGACCCTGCTGAGGCCATGGGCTCTTCCCTCCCCATGCTCTTGTCACTACTGCCACTGGGGGTGGCCAGGCAGCCGAGGGCCCCTAGCTCTGCTTTCTTCCAGGTGGACCAAAGCGGTTTCTGCCCTTACAGCTCTCTGTGGAGTGCTGCTCCTTTGCAGTCCTGAAGCTCTTGGAAGCACTCCATTCGCTCCACGTGCCCTTAAAATAAACTCCGTTGGGCTGCGAACGTACTTTCACCTCATACGATGCATCGTTTTCGAGGTTTTTCCCCAGTAATTTTACCTGAAGGTACGGCGACTCTATTGTCTAAACACACAAAAAAGTCCTATTATTTTTCTAGAAGACATGGGAAAAGGATCTTTCAGTTTCAGCAAAATGCATGAGATCGGTGTGTTCCTGCAGTGCTGTTCTGTTTGTTCCTTCTCTTTGCTCATTGTAAAGGTGGTTGTCACAGCGTCAGTCTAGTTAAGCTAGACAGTATTGAGAAGAGAGACTAGCTTTGAGTAAAACCTCTCTAAGAAACAACTGGAAGCGTTAACTGTGCTTTGCTACTGCCGACACTGCAGTGGGCAATACATGCTTCCCTGGGAAAGCTCAGAAGAGAGCGGGGAAAAAACACATTCGCAAGGCATAAAAAGATAACTTCTGAAAGAGCAGTTACAGGAAAGAAGCTGAAATCCCACAGTGCAACTCCGGCACTCTTTATTTCAATGTATTTGGTTGTCTGAATAATTTTCTAGTTACGATTCTCCTGTGTTCCCTCTGTGAAAAACAGGCATGGTCCGTGCTTTAAAACATCCCCCATCTGGACTAGTGTTTGCACGGCTGCCCTTGTGACAGCAGACACAGAGGTCCCAGCAGTTGGGAGCCCAGATCCAGCTCACAGGCAGCTGCAGCCCAAAACATGTTCTGAGGGTGGGAGAGCTGCAGGGCGGCACCCAAAGCCCGGAGAGGCTCAATGAAGAAATTGTAGCTAAATAAAAAAAGGAGTCATACGATTTCCTGACTGATGAGCATGGGAAATAAGAGCAAAACCACCATAGCAAAAAGCAAGCCATTCAAATACTTAGGATGCTTCTGTTAGGATGCTATTAACGTTTTGTTTTCCCACTGCAAAGACCAAATGAACGAAACTTCGTTAGCCCAGAGAAGTGTCTAACAGACATGAGCCCTCTCGGTCTGGAATTGTTTTGACTGATGAAATTTCCAAACGCCAAATATTGCACCTTTCCAAGTTTTCAGCTGGACAACTGTAGAAATGCGTATTTGAGGGGTTTTACATGATACTGGTATTTCTGATAACGTTTAATTCCAGAAATTATCGTAAACTTGCCAATACGTCGTCACTTACCTTCCAAGTGCCTTCTTCCTGCCGATAGGCTGTTTGGTGTATTAATTTGCCATCTAAGTACTTCTTCCGTGAGTGTGGTGTACTATAATGAATAAGATACTCATTTGCCTCCTTTTGGTATGTGACGTTTATATCGAACGGTACTTCAGGCTTAACTGCAAATCATAACGGACCAGATTTAACAGGAGTAGAATAATGTTACTACAAAATAACAGGTTTAAAAAGGTGCAAAAAAAATCCACTTCAAGTTACAGCCCCTGTGGTGTGACCTGTCTTGAGCAAGATCTGGCCTGAGCTGGATGGACCTCATGCTGAGCCACAGCACATCCTTACACCTTGGTTCCTTAGAGTGGCTTGGTGTTGATCTGCTGGAGCAGCAGTGTGACCATCAGGGATGGCACTTCCTCAGGATGTGACATTTAGTCTTGGAAAGCAATTCCCAAGCATGCCTACCCCTGCTCGAAGACCTGAAATTCAGTCCCTCTAACCAGTGCTCCGAGGTGACAAAACCCATCACTGCTCTGGGAGGAAGGCACCAGGGAGCAAACTGAGTATAGGTACAACCACCAGTGGCCAATGGGGTGGTGTAGCAGAGGAAGGGATGACGTATGACAGCGTTAGATGTAGCAGAGGGGGTTGTGGCTCCAGGTCCTTGCTGTGAACCCACACCTGACCTGGTTCGCAGAAGGAGAGAGTGCCAAATGAACATCTGTGCAAGTACCTCAAGTCCAAAATGCACCCTTCAGGACTATCCCCAAGCCATGCCTGAGCTGGACGTGCCTGAGGTTTGTGGAGACCTGTGTCTGTGCTGCTGTGGCTTCCTGAAGGCACCATGTAAAGAACATCAGTTCTCACAGGAATAGCGAGCCTGCACCTTTCTCCTCTCAGGAAAATGCATATAACCAGAAATTATGCCCGCCCCTTCTGCATTCACCAAATATTTAATCCTTCCATGTAGAACTGGCAGCTCCTAGAGGAGAGACCACCAGACATGGTCTGGACTGGCCTGTAAACTGAGAGATGGTGTAATGGGGCAGAGGTGTTTCTTAAGAGAAGGATGAATGTTTCATCCTATTGGAATGGGGCAGAAGTGTTTCATAAGAGAAGTATGCTGCAGGCCTATTGCCAAAGGAAGGCAATGTGGCACCAGAGCAGAAAAGAGCTGCCCTACATGGGATTCTCTGCAGCCCTCAGATGAGACCAGCTCCCAAGAGGGATAGGGCCTGAGGAACCCCTTTTCCCCTGAGTTCCCTGCTTCTTAACCTAGGCAGGTCCCCAGCGTGGCTTGGACGAGTCCAGTCATGGGCTCTCGGTGTCCCTTCTGCACTGCAGGATGCCTGAACACCTCGTTCAGACAACAGCCTCTACCAAGAAGCAAGGTATGAAAAGCGAGATCTTGCAACCTTGAGGTCCCTGTGCTACTCAGCTCACACTAGACTTGAGGTGGTCAGACCTGAAACTGCTCAAGCCCTAGTAAGAGATGAACAAAATGTCCCTGCTTGACAGTTCATTTGAGCTCAGGAACAGCTCCTTTGCTCATGTGCGTGATTCAGTCTATGTCCAGGTCTGGGCAGTGTTACAATAAGCCATAATTCAGCTACACATTTTGAGCGGAGGTTAATCTTTTTTGGCTTTGAAACCAGGGGAGCATTACACTCTGCCAGCATATCAATCCACGCTCCATGCTCTGCTAGGACTCCATTTTATGCTGCCTTTATGTCATCTAGATTGGTGCTTAGGCTTTGTGCTGGGCTATTTTTGTCCCCAGTAACGAATATATCTTAAAAATATCCAAAATATTAAGTGTCTTACCAATGTCAGTTACAACCAGACTCCTGCAGACCCTTTTCTTTGTCTCAGAGAGCATGCAAATGTCTTTATTCGATAGTATATCAGTGAATTCTAAGAAGTATAGATCTTCCTGTTTCTCCATGTTGAAGCACATGTAACTGCTGTCTTCCTTGGTACTGTAGACCAAAGTGACACAACATTAGTTTCTTCTCAGTCTTACTGTAACATAGTAAGGGATGAATCCTGGTTGCTCATTTCACATTAACTGAAGTAAGACTCCATATGAAATACAAAAAATGCATGCAAATAAAGAGTTTAAAAGACTGACAATGTTTTGCTCCAGGTCTTTGAGCACAGTAATCCAGTGACGTGAGTCACAGTAAGAGTCCTGGAGCACTCCAAAAAAACCAAAAGCACTTACTAAATTGGACATGTATGCGGTAAAAACCTTTATATCATCAAAAATTATCTTACTGCTGCCATTTTAAAGTACAGGGCAATAGGTTTGGATGCTCACTGAAGGTAAAGAGAAATTTCTTATTGACTGAAGTGGTAGTAAATACAGGGTCAACAGTCAGCCAGGCCATGAAGGAGTCATATGGCACAATTTCAGAGGTGGAAATGCATCTGTATGTTCCTTAATTTGTGTTTGAGGACTGTCATAACATTTCCATCAAATCTGGAATAAACCACATGAAAATAGAAAAATTCTAATAAACTAGATGGAAAAAAAAATTAAGTAGTGATTATAGCAGCAAGATGCAAAAAAAAATTAGAATCTACTTTTACTGTCTGCAGCAGAACTTTCAGTTTCAGGAAAAACAGGCAAAGGGAAAAGCAGAAGTATGCTAAACAAACAAAATGTGAGCTTCTTCAGCTAGGTGCATCAGTTAAAAAAAAAGTGGAAAAGAGTTTCAAGGCCTCAACGAGAAGTGGAGATGATTGATGTGTTTGGTAACTATTAGGGTTTTGTATCCTCATTCTAATGTGTTTTTTTGCGAGTCTGTGTATGCAAAGACAATTGCTTAGTTTTAGTCTTGACCTAGATAAAGATATTTTTCTTTCAGTAGAAATCAGTCTTCTCACCTTTCTGTGGAAAGGATCTGCCTCTTCAAAAACACTTTTACTTTTAACTTGATGAAGGTTAAGTTTGCCTTTTAAATATCATTTAATTTAAAGGAAAAACATTTTCAGTTCATGCTGGGCTACACCAGTACTAGCAGGTACTCCAGAGCAACAGAGGCACGATCAGGACTATTGGAGACATTATAATGCTCTTCACAGACCCTTCCAGCTGATTTTTTTTCCTTATTAAAGAGTTATATTCTGTTTCAGTAAACTCTTCTTCTTTGCTGAATACAGTATTCAAACTTGGTAAAACACTCTGAAACAGAATATTGTCCAACTTTTCTGCTTCTGTTCCCCAGCATATGGCAGCATAACTCACTGGTGCTTAGCATTTCACTTCCCAGAAGTTTACCAAAGGACGGACTGACTGCTTACCACAGGGCCATGGTATAGTTAGTGTTGTGAGGAGGCAGCTCTGTAAAATTGCAGGTCAGGCTGCTATAGGAAACCTTAGATTCCAGCTGGCTGAAGCAGTTGATTTCAAAATTGTCTAGTTCATCATCTTCAAAAGTCCCTAGGGAGAGATTCGCAGGATGTTACTGAAGCAAACCAGTGAGTGTATTCAGTTTGTAGCTCCATTGTACAGGAGGTTGTTTCTTTACGTGGTTGCCTGAAGGGAAGAGGATCAGCCCACCTGTTTTGTTAGAGGCAAAGACAGCTTGTTCAAAATGAAATTAAAAGCCACTTGCACCTTTCAAGGTTGCTCTCCCTGCATGCCAGTGAAGCCCACTCACTTACCACGCACAAAGGCACTTTCTGCATCATCGGTCTGTGAGCTATAAAAAGATACAGTGTCGCAGATGGTTTGGTCAGACAAGACACCCTATGTCTGTTCTTTCCTATTAATCATGGGCAGAGAGAGGTGCTGATGTTGACCTGGAAACTCCCGTGAAAAAGTCCCAGCATCGACTGCAAAGCAATGAGAATTTATTGTCCACCCTGAAGTTTAACCCCTTCTAAGTCTGAGCTAGGGAGAGGGGAATTCTTGTTTTAATAGCTATGGATGAACTTTGCACCAAGAAAAAAGCAGGATGTACTCCATCTGAAAATCATCTCAGGACTTTCTCAAACAGATTTTCCCTTTAAAATCCACAAAATGCTGCTATCCTTGGGCATGCAAAGGGGAGTAAGACACATTCATAATGCCTGTTAAAAAGCAGAATATACAAGTCAAGGACCAAAACACTCTTGAAAATAAATGAAACATGCACTGGGGGATATACTCAGCACAGTTACTGCCAGAGGTGTCTGGGGCTGATGATTGGGACTAATGTCTGCTCAAGAGCAAGAGCTAGTTTCAACAGGAGTTATTTTTATGGGAATTTCAGCTCAGGACAGCCTGAAAGTACATCAAACAGCTTGTAGTTTCAAAGCAGCAGACCTAGAGCTGAGGATGCACGCTTGGCAGTTGCCATTGCTGCACTTGCCTCAGAACCAACTGCGTTGCAGACGGCTGACAGTGCCCGAGCGGTGTCCTCCTGCCCCTGCCCTGCCCTACTTCTGCCCGCACTGTAAAGGTCTGGCCTCTTACCAGGCTCCTGAGAAGACTGGAAAATGATATGGGTGGTTTTAGGACAGCAAGGGTATTCTGGTGTTACAAGGCGATTAAGCCCCATTTTGATTGTACTGCAAAGTTTTCTGAAATGTCACAAATTTGGGCTCACGACGGAAAGCTCAGACTTTCTGCCAGAATGCATAGCTTCCTGCAAATTTGTTTCGATGACTCATGAAACAATCACAATTTGACTAAGAGCATATGTCTGAAGTCGTACACTTGGCATGTATGAGGTCAGTGAGGCAAAAACTGATCCTTCTGAAAGGAGTCCTCTCTGGCAGAAACTGGCAGTTCAGCCTCATTTCATGAAATGTCACCCCTTGTAGCTGAGTGGAGAGGGAAAGGGCTATTGCCATGACCCTTTGAGTGGATTCTTGGGGCAAGAATGCCTCTGACCCCTTTTACCAGTGACTGAGGGTAGCTGTGATGATACATAACCCTCTTCATGTCCAGGGACTATTCCCGATTTCCTGCTTGGTGCTCTCCTCAGATGTGCCCTTGCCATGTGGGGCACCTGCTGCAGTGAAAACAAGACCTTGGCTGATCCAGGGGTATTGGTGAATCATGCTCACAAACAATGTGGGGAAATGCCCGTAGAAACATCTCCAGTGGAAAATCCCTCCCAGAGAAAATGGTGGTCATCTCTGCTGTCACCCAGGTGAATTGGATCTCTGAGGGGTGACCAGCTACTTGGATATCGTGATTTGTAGTCCTGCTGGTGATGCCCTAAGATCACTGGCCAATCCTGCCAGCATGCAGGGAGACCTAGACCTTGTCTGACGTGGGAGCACATCTGAAGTTACAAAATGGTCATGGTTTGATAGCAGGGAGAAAGCAGGGGAAAGTTTTTTCATTGCTTTAAAATGTAAGTAAAGGGCATCACCCCCCAGGGTTGCTATCAGCAGTGCTTCCTCCTGACCTCGGAGTTGAGTTGCATCTTCAGTTAGGTTTTGAGAAGAGAAGAAATTCAGAAGTCATTCAGGAATGCAGAGAAAAATGCAACAGCTCTGAGGGCAGGGGCTAGGAAGGGGGCTGCCGCCACCAGCAACCGTGGTGGGCAGCAGGAGGGATGGGAGCATCTGACGCTACACTAATCCAGAGTCTAGAGGTAGATCTACCCCGAAGCTAAGATTTAGTCGTCGTTTGCCACTATGAGCAACTGGTGCTGAGAAGCACTTACCAGTCTTCCCTTCTCACTGCAGCTCTGGTGGTCTCTGTCCCAAGCAGAGACCCAGCACTCCCCAAAGGACAATGAATTGTGGCACCTTCTACCAGCACTGCTGGTTTGAGAGGATAACCTGCACAGCACAGACATGGACAAAGCAGGTGCTGTACAAAGCCACTCTGTCTGACCATGGCATTTAAGAGAGAGACACAGAGGTCACCACAACTCCACAACAAGCCCTGCAGCAGTTTCACATAGGTGAGAGTCTTGACCAACGCAGCCCTGAGCCACCTGGGCAGACACGTATGTACAGAAATGTGTATTACATAAAGTTACACATTTGGGGGTAAAATGTGTGCATATAGAAAGACATATATTCAAAATTCAGGGGATAACGAGTCAGCTGAAATGAATCTGCATAAAATGGAAAACCCTCATATTTTATATAGCTAGATACACCCAAAGCTCACATGCACAGATATGTCACATTTTATGCATCTGTAAGACTTTGCTTGCAACTACCAGGAGATTGGCTTGTTTGTACTCATAGCTACTTCAAGACAACATTAAAGCTTATGAATTAGGAGGACCAATCTTCCTTTATATAAGAGAGAAAGATTGCTTGGTTCACTCTGTGTAGAAAAACTACATAGACCAGATTTCGCATAAACACACAAAACTGATAATCATCATATCAATAAAGAACATATTAGAAAAAAAAATCTTTCAGCTGTCTGCTACTGCGTTGCTGAAAAGTGACAGAAATATTAATTCATACTCAATCAGGCTGACTGCAAAGTGAAAAGAAAGAAAAAAAGTTTGTCTTGCAGTTCAAACAGTCATTTTAATATTTCACCAGCGTAGTGCATCTTTGGTATCGGACTGGAGGGAAAGCTGACTTTACCAGTTTAACACTGAACTTTCACATTGTGCTTGTGTGGTTCCTTATCCACGGAAATAACATCCTAACCAAAAAATACACTATAATTAAACCTAATGAATTGTGTTAAGTAAGCAATTTGAAATGCTTTTTCTGATATAGTTTCTCTGTGGGCTGACAGTAATTTTTTTTTGTTTGACATAAATATGCATGTAGCCTCAGTTATACTTCTTCCCTAAACCTCAGAACCACCATGCACAAATGTGTTTGCTACGTAAATGGTTTTGATGACTCCAACATGACTCACACTGCTAAGGGCTCTCTACACGATTAAAAGTTTAAAAGATTATAATTTTTTCCTTAAGAGGCCCAGACCAGGCAGAGCCCTGAGCACCGCTCTGCTGAAATCAAGGCAGGGTTTGAGATGGTGTGATTCTAGCGAGAGAAAAACTGCACTAATATTTACAGCCATGGCAGATCCTGCACAAGAATAGTTGCCTCTTGGGTTTAGAAAAACACACCAGGATGGTTTCAGGAATCTCATGAACTTTTACTAAGAGAAGAGCATTAGCAGAGGCTGTAGACATGCTTCAGCTTTATGCTCTGAAAACACTGAGACTGACCACAATGTGTGGAAACAAAGGCACTGGTAAGTGCCTGCAGGATCAGTGACTGAATTTCTGATGTCAATGAAGTGACCATCTCCATGGACAGTCACGCAAAATCTCTAGTGTTGACCTGATTTAGGCAGGACTCATTTTAATCACAACGGTTTTGGTGTGGGTTGTACAAACCATATAAGCTTAAGTAGGAGGGCCACTGAAGCCAGCCATCCTGCCCATGACACCACACACTCTGCTGCCTCCCGCTCCCGCTGCCCATGACCTGCTACACCTCTGCAGCTGCCCCTTTTTAGCTCTGCTTGTACCTCACTTAGGGCTTTTGGTGATCTCCACCACCTCTGCTAGGCTGAAGGACCGCACTTGAGAGGCAGTTGGCAGCTCAGAATAAAAGAAGTGAAGGCAACTGCCACAATGAGTTTTTCTGCCCTTCTCCCATTAAGAAGTAGTGAGCTCATGTCTGTCTAGGCTGGTGGCACTTTGCCAGGAGGCAGGGTGAGTCGGAAAGGTGATGAGTAAAAGCCAAACATCGCGGATGATTTTACCCTGGATTGTTTAATTTGTTGACCAAACCCATGAGACTCATAAAGAAATCATAAAATCTGCTAATTGCTCAGTGGGGATTTTCTGAATCTGTTTGTCCTTCATTCGAACCAAAGGATTAATTATGGTTTACTGGAAGTCAGTGACAAAAGATGGAAAGGTCCGGTCATATCTGCTTTTGGGAAGCTCTGAAGATTTCAGTGACATCAGCAATGAATCATTGGCATTGACCATTCAGCACCATAGCTGCTTGCCAAAACTGGCTCTAAACAGCTGCAGATTGTATAAGTAAAAGGTAAACAGAAAAAACAAAGTTGTTAGATGTAGTTCTGAGCCACTCCCTGTTCTCTTCTAAGAAACTTATTGTGCATATCCTACCTAGGTGTGTATACATGTATGTACATATGTGTACATACATACATGTTATAATATGTGATACACAGGAGAAAACCAGATTCCCTCTCTGTAACATAGCATAGGAACACAGCCATTATCTTCCTAAAACCCCAAAACTCTTTTGCTCCCTGAAAATGGACCCCTAAAACTGCCAGTAACTGAGCTACTGCCCATGTCCCTCAGGCACAGTGCAACAAGCTCTGTCACTGCTATTTGTTTAGTATTAGACAAGTAAAAGTTTAACAGATCTGGAAATGAATCTGAAAATCCAATTTTTCAGCTCCCTTTTGAGAAAAGGGACAGCAGACTAAAACAATGATTTTATTGCTGCTCTTTATGTTTTGATTTTTGATTTAGATGCTGCTAAATCATTTTCACTTGCTTAAATGAGATAATGAGATCTGCAATAAGCCTGAATTTAACTGTTGAATTGATTTATAATTATTTGGTGAGTAAGAGATGAATGGTCTTAGTGATGGGCTGTGAGAACCTTCCGGGTGAGTTACTGCTTCAGCAATACTACGAGAAAGACTGTGACTATTCCCAGATACACCTTATGCAATTGTTTAAAGAAAAAGAGAAAAAGTTTGACTTTTGAAGTGGAACAGCTTGGGTCAACTTTGAGGTACATTGAAAAATTTTCTTTGGAGGAAACTGTCAAGGGCAAGAGAAGCCGGAACCTCACCCCTCTCTGATGGTAGCTCAGAGTGACCATGGACTGCAGAAAAGGGAAGCGACTACCCGTTCCCAGGCATAACTCATCACATGAAGACTACATACGATGAGAGAGGATTAATAGGTCAGATATTGCATGGCCTCTGCATACAGCTGTATCCCGCATTTCATAAGAATTTGGACATTATGAGAACAGCCAACTTGGAAATTAAGTTAAATAGGTATCTTCCAGCCCCACATCCGCCTCGGGTACTGGCACTAAAAGAAAGAAACTGGAGTCTAAAACACTAACACATTTAACCTAGCAGTTGCATTTGGAGCTCTTAGCTCAGGTTTTTCAAGATCATACAAGACTTGAAAGATGAACACGAAATGACTCACCATCACCATCTGCTGAGGCGCAACCACTTTCCCCAAAAGTGGTGTGAAGAAACAAGATGAAAATGCTCAATACTGTACTTGTCTGTGTCATCCTGAGCATGCTGCATGTGTGCAGTACGTGTGTGTGTGAAACCTGCGCTCGCTTACTTTATACTAGACGCAGAACAAACCCATTGCCTGATAAAGAGACCGCAGGCACGGGGAAATGTAAACATGCCGACAAGGATGACTAGTGGCAGAGAGCAGGAAGCCAGTATGAAGATATTTGCAGAGCTTTTACTTTGAAACATGCTTCCCACTTCAAAACTAAGGACCTTTTGGATCAGGCCCATTGACTTATTGGGGCAAATCTGGTCAAGCTCAGTGGGTCAGGAGGACTTGTCATGGATGGTGCTCCTCTCTTGGCTAATGGGATTTTTGCTGCTGGTTTACCTGGGAGCACAGTTTAGTTCTCTCCATAGAGGTACGCATGTCCAGGAGACAAAAATCTTCTGTCTATGAAACATTAAATGTAGTTGCTGTTATTTATTCTCTAATGTTTGCGTCAAAAGAAGCTTGGCCAGCAGGTCAAGGTCGGTGATCCGCTCTGGTGAGAGGTCTCAAGGTCACTCCACTATGGTGAGACACAGCCTGGAGTAGTACGTCCAGCTCTGGGGTTCCCCATTCATGAAGAACGTGGACCTGTTAGAGTGAGTCCAGAGGAGGACCATGAAAATGATCAGAAGGCTGGAACACCTCTTTTATGAAGAAAGACTGAGAGAGTTGGAGCTGTTCAGCCTGGAGAAGAGAAGGCTCCAGGGAGATTATATTGTGGCCTTTCAATATATAAAGGGGGATTTAAGAAAGATGGAGAGAAACTTTTTACCAAGACCTGTAGTGACATGACAGGGGGCAACAGTTTTGAACTGAAAGAGAGTAGATTTAGTTTGGACATAAAGAACAATTTTTTTATGATGAGAGTGGTGAGACCCTGGAACAGGTTGCCCGGAGAAGCTGTGGATATATCATCCCTGGAAGTGTTCAAGGTCAGGTTGGATGGGGCTTTGAGCAACCTGGTCTAGTGAAAGTTGTCTGTGCCCACAGCAGGGGGGTTGGAACTAGATGATCTTTAAGGTCCCTTCAAACCCAAACTGTTCTATGAGTCTATGAAGTCCTACATAGGGTAATACTGACCCAGAAAAGCTGTGATTTAAAAGGCTAATCCTACAAAATCTAGCTCCTGAGAACAAAGTGGTACATGTCACATTTTTTCAGGCTTTGGGCAAAGCAGAAGTAGAAAGAGGAAGATAAAGAGGTGTTAAATATTTCCTTCATACACTTTCTGTGGCTGTATACACCAACGCACACTAGAGCATATTGCAGGGCCATGTACACAGCTGACTGATGTGGCTAACTACAAGTGAGCTGAAGACCTGAAAGCAAAAAGCAAGCCCTGGCACAGCACTGGCTGCACCAAAAATTGTATGTCGGAGGCGTAAAGGAAACCGACGGCAAGGTTGGTAACAATGCCCAAGCAAAGAGAAACGTGATGACACTATAATAAGGAGACTCAACATGGAAGCCACAGCAGCTTTTTCATTTGCAAGGAAATAAACCACTCACCAAAATGATGAAAGTTCAGCCCTGATGTCTAGAAAAGTGTCCTTCTTGCCAGGATATTAGGAACTGTCCTCTGGTGTCACTTGCTGCCCTGAGCAGAGGTCAGCGGGTAGCCAAGGGGGTGTTTCAGGACCCTCCCACCCTGTTTTTTATGGGAAGCCATTGCCCCTTTACCATGAGACCTTCGCGAGGCTGCCCAGAAAAAGGAACTTTCCCATACCTCTGTCAAGTTCCTCCTTGTGGCAGGACCCTGAGGGTCCTCACAAAAGCACTCCCTGAAAGTGAACTAAGTCTAGGTAGATAAAGAAAAATGAGCTTGAATTCATCAGCCCAAATGTAGATATTTACTGTGTGTATTTCCATGACAAAGCTTCTCATACTTCACTCCTGCCTAGCGAGCGGAGAGCACGATTCATCTCATCCCAAAATAGACATTCAAAAGATGAAATCTAAACCTCTAAACAAATTTATTTCTCTCCATTGAGTACAAAAAGAGCCCACAGTGAGGTAGGGGTTAGATGTCTGCCTGGCAGACCTCTGTAGTACCTCCCACCCACTAACAGGGGAGGGACCTGCCAGGCCACAGCAACCAGTCATACAAAGCAGAGCAGGAGCTGGTCACAGCACTGAGGCCAAGGAGCCACTGGAGATGGCAGTGCCATGGCCTGAGCAGCCCTCACCTGAGAGCTTGACTTCATTTACAAAAGTATTTGAGGCACTGCCCCATCCATGCGATATCATTTCAAGAAATACTCTCTTTCGGAGGTCTGAGTCAGTTGGAGGGACTTTAGGAGTAGTTAATACTCATCTCTGCCTCCCAAATTTCATATACTTTACTCAAGCTTATTGAAGACAAACTTGAATCAACACGATTGGGTACTGGTGACATCACATCTCTAAGGTCTACCCCTGTCTTGCTTTAGAAAAGCTTATTTAAGGATTTCAGCACCTGGCTTAATGATATTCAATATCATACTATTCTAGAAACCCTCAGGCTAGTTTCTACCTCATTTTCAGCCAGAAATATCTATAGAGGAGGTCTCTCCCATGCAAACTGATCACTATCTGGAAATGACACCTTCTCACTTTAAATTTGTCTTGTTTATAATTGAGTGGGCTATCACTTTGATCTTTTTTTTTTTCTTTTTTCCTGTTTCAGCTGGAGCAAAGTAAAAGAAAAAGACTTTTCAGACATAATATTTTGGTTGAACCTGAACAATCTTATTATCAGAGCTGTGCCACTCAGGGGATTTCCATGTTGTCATAGCTGCATTTTGTCTAGGTGGGGAAACAAGGGACCACAATGTAAAGAAAAAATCTAGTATAGAGAAAAGCCCTGAAGCAAAAGTACATTTTGTTTTACTTCCTACTTCTGAGTCTCTGCTTCAAAAGTTGTTTAATTTCAAAGAATTGTTTGAGTCCATCAGTCTCATCTAGTTGCCTTTCTCTAATGCCCTAGAGATAGGAAATCAAACCTGTGAGGGTTTAAATCTTAGGGCAGATGAAGTATTAATACCCAGGAAAGGCTGAAAGAAGACTTACTACTTTCCATTTGCAATGAATTTACACTGTTTCTGCCTCCTAATTCAGGGTTCTATCAACAACAACAACAACAACAACAACAACAACAACAACAAAAAAAGAAAGAAAAACCAGTTTAAACAGGTAAGAATTTTGATGATCCAGCAAAAACATACCATTGGTCTGCCAGGACTCTTTGGGTCCCAACACCCTGCTTTGGTGCTTCTAAGTCACCCTAGATCTTCTTACATTTTTGGCCATCAGCAAAGTCTAGGTTACAACTCCTGTGACTGGAGAAAACAATTTTTTCAGTGCCTTTTAATACTAAAAATGGAAAAGGCTTCTGCATATATGCTAGATTTAAGTCTGCCATCAGTACGTGCTTAGAAAGATGAAGTTGGTAGATCTCATCCTTCTACCAGCTACACTTTTCAAACATGTCAGTTCAGACAGATCCCAGAGCATTTGTGGGAGTCCAGTGAATTGAGTACTCCAGATGCATCCCAGTGTGTAGCACTGGAGACAGGTCCTGTAGACAGTGGTGGTCAGAAAATATAGGCAACCTCATGTCTGAGGAGCTCATTGGTGGGGTTTTTTTTTGGATCTTAAAGAAACATATTAACTATTGCAAAACATACGACCACGACACAGTGGAGTTGACCACGACACAGTGGAGTTCAAGATCCATGGGGCAGCAAGGAAACCATTCAGCAAGCTCTGTACCCTAGACTTCAAGAAGGCGGACTTCGGCCTCTTGAAGCACCTGATGGGCAAAGTGCCGTGGGAGGTGGCCCTGGAGGGACAAGGGGCCCAGGAAAGTCGGTCCACATTCAAGGAGCACCTTCTCCAAGCTCAGCAGAGGTGCATCCCGACGAAGAACAAGTCGGGCAAAAAGACCAGGAGGCCGGCGTGGATGAGCAAGGAGCTCCTGGACCAACTGAAAATGAAGAGGTTAGCCTACAGAGGGTGGAAGCGGAGACAGATAGCCTGGGAGGAATACAGAGAAGCTGTAAGAGTGACCAGGGATCAAGTGAGGAAGGCTAAAGCCCTGAAGGAATTGAATTTGGCAAGGGATATAAAAAGCAACAAGAAATGCTACTATAGGTATGTAGGGGACA